GGAGGAGGAGGAGGAGGAGGAGGAGGAGGAGGAGGAGGAGGAGGTCCCGACTATGGAGAAGGAAGCGGAAGAGGAGGTCCCGACCAATCAATCAATCAATCAATCAATCAACCAATCAAGGAATCCTGTCGAATCTATTGATTCGATAGGATTCAAATAGGATCTTGAATTGTCAAGATCCTGTCAAATCAATAGATTTGACGGGATTGATTGATTGATTGATTGATTGATTGGTTGATTGATTGATTGATTGATTGCGACGGTAAAGGCGGAAAAAAAGAAGAAAGAAAAAAGGAGGAGAGCGGGGGTTGTGAGGTCCACAACAACGGGGTTCGACATTCTGGCGAGATGGAGAAGGAGGAGGAGGACTTCCCGACAATGGAGGAGGAGGAGGAGGACGTCTCGACGAGGAGGAGGAGGAGGAGCAGGTCCTGATGGAGGAGGAAGTCCCGATGAAGGAGGAGGAGGTCCCGACGATGGAGGAGGAGGAGGAGGAGGAGGTCCCGACAATGGAGGAGGAGGAGGAGGAGGTCCTGACGAGGAGGAGGAGGAGGAGGAGGACGACGAGGAGGAGGAGGAGGACGACGAGGTCCCGACGGAGGAGTAGGTCCAGGCAGACAGATAGGTCCGTAGACATATGGGATAGGGATAAGAGAGGATTGGATGGATGGAAAGATGGACAGAATGATACGATCGAACTGAGAGAGAGAGAGAGAGAGAGAGAGAGAGAGAGAGAGAGAGAGAGAGAGAGAGAGAGGGATAAGAGAGGATTGGATGGATGGAAAGATGGACATAATGATACGATCGAACTGAGAGAGAGAGAGAGAGAGAGAGAGAGAGAGAGAGAGGCTGGTGGTTGCCCACATTATCTGCTGGCCTTCTTCAGTCTTGTCGTCGCCAGCCTCAGTGCCTCCTGCGTCCTGAATGCGGAGCGCTGATGCCTGCTGCCGCTGGGAATCACACCTGCGATGCCCTCCACGTGGGTCACACCTGCGAAGCCGACCAAGGGAGCTATGGAGGATGGGGAACAACGGGCGGCAACGAGTCGAGGACGATGGCGACAATGGGTGACGTTGTGAACGACGCACGGGGAGCAGCGAGAACAGGGACCGGGAAGGGGCAGGAGGCAATGCAGAACGAGTTTCAAATGGCTCGGGAACCAATGGGCTCCACTAGTCGCGCAAAGTCCAAGTTCAGAATGAATGTTCCGCTTCAACATGGGAAGATAAATTGCCTTTTTCTTTGTGGCAGGGCGAGCAGTGGAGTGAGGCCGACTCGAAAACCCGAACTCGAAGTCGGCCAACGTCTGGAATTGCCACAGAACCGAAAAGTTGGACATTCCGGCGGGAATCTCAAGGAGGCACCAAAAAAAAAAAAAAACGGGCCTACAAGTTCTGGTGGTGGAAAAGGGCGGGGGGGGAAGGGCTGGGAGGGGGGCAGGTGGGACTACAAGGGGTAGTGAACCACGGTTACCCGACTGGATCCTCTACGCGCCCGTACCCACCTCCATTTTTTTTTTTGCCCCCTGTACCTGTCCATACCGGTTTTAGTTTTCTATTTGGCTGGCCCTACCTGCCCGTGATCTCCATAAAGAGTAACTGTGCCTACCCGTCATCACCAGAAAAACCAACTTTGCCTGCCCATAACCAACGCCCCCTTCGAAAGTGCACCCAGCCCTACCCGTGACCTGGCGGTTACAGTTGGGTGCGGTCGGGTACGGGCAACGGTTACCCATTTGCGCTCTCTGCTGCAGACCGCCTACCTTGACCGCCGAGAGGGGCATGCGGGTGTTGGGAGGCGGTTTAGGGGTGTTGGAGGGGTGTATGGGGGTGTTGATGGGGGTTGGGGGGTGTTTGTGAGGAATCTGGGAAGAATGTGGTTATCATCTCAAAATGAACAGCACAGACAGTATCGAATTACTAATTGATCCTGGCACTTGCCAACCAATTGATAGTGAAATGATGCCCTCCTTGCACGCTTAGTGTGAAGCAGTGTACATGGCATCTGGAGCACATAACACTCGGTGTCCATAGCACCCAGCCCACATGGTGCCGCTCTGCATAGCAGGTATGTGGCAGCCGGTACGGGGATCAGCCTTCATTCTCTCCTGGACTCTTGGACCGCGCTGCTACACGTGAGCTGTGGTGGGAAGGTAACTTTGTCTACACTGATGTTCAGAAAGGAATTAGAAAGAGAATAGATTCAAATCTGGGTGTTCTTTTTGGGGGGGGGACCATCCTCCAGTTTATCTGTGGGGAGTAACACGTGCGGGGAACCGGGCCCAGCGTCCCTCATGAAAGTACAGAACGAATTGACACACCGGGCCCATTACCAGGCTTGGGCTAAGAGCAATGAAGACAATTGAGGCAAACTCAAGAAGATTCATGGTCCACTACTTGAGGAAAACACAATAAAATTCATGATCTATATAGTAACCTACGAGAGAACATTCTGCAGAATGTTCACACGATCCATGATAATACTGAACCTTTCGAACACTGTTGAAGTAGATGAATACCCAGTCAAACCCAACTGAAACCTCCGTCCATGCAGCCATGTTCAATGAAAACCAGGTCTCACTACCAGGCCTGTTCGCCCCTAACAGGCTGGGTTGCAGAGTTGTGCCATCTCGCTTCAGCTCCGACTAGTGCTGCTCTGGCTTCGACCCCCTGTTGGCCACCCAAACTTCCCCCTCAAACAGTCCCCCAGATCTTCCTCTACCAGGCCTCACACCCCCCAGCAGGCTGGGTTGCGGAGTTGCGCCACCTTGCTCCCGCTCCAGCTTCGACCCCCTGTTGGCCACTGGAACTGCCCCCTCAAACAGGCCCCCAGATCTATCCACCAGGCCTCACACCCCCCAGTCAAACCCAACTGAAACCTCCATGCAGTCGTGCGCAAAGAAGACCAGATCTCTCTACCAGGCATCACACCCCCAACAGGCTGGGTAACAGAGTTGCTCCACCTCGCTCCAGCTTTGGCCAGCGTTGCTTCGGCTTCGACCCCCCGTTGGCCACTGGATTTACCCCCTGGAGCAGTCCTGCAGATCTCTCCACCAGCCCTCACACCCCCAATAGGCTGGGTTACAGGGTTGTACAACCTCACCCAATCCGGGAATAGGGTTTGATAGGAAAAAGAGGTCTGTGGGTCATGTGGCAGGTGTGCACAAGTGCAGCAACCGGGCAGCATAATGCTAGAGCAGCAGTGTGGCAAGTGCACAAGCGTAGCAACCTGGCAGCATATTGCTACCGTCTTCACTGGAATAGAACGTCGGGTCATTATAGCTGCATTTGGGGCAACTTTCGATCCAGGTGCAGCGATAATGACCGGGCGTTATATTCGGGTGAAGACAGTAGGGCAATTTTTGAAAGAGGAGGGGGGGAGGGGGGGGAGGGTTGCTTGCATTTTGTTGCTACAAAAGCAGGCAGGGTTCAAACTGCTGCAGTTGGCCCCAAAGATGGAAAGAATTGTGTTTCAGATTTTTTTTTATTTTTATTTTTTTCTGAGTGCAACTCTGGCTTTCGGCAATGGCGCTGTTCGTAACTGGATTTGTCCGAGTGCGATTCTGGCTAGATGTCTATGGTGACCGATGCTGTTTTAGAAAGAGACCCCATGTAAAAGGCAATTTGAAAAATCTGGTGCCACCGACATGTGCACCATGGGGTTGAGAAATCTGTGTTCCAAAAATTGTCTGAGTGTTGCTTTTGGTTGTTTTTGCAGACAAATGGATTTGTCCCAGTGCAATTCTGGCTAGATGTCTATGGTGACCAATGCTGTTTTAGAAAGAGACCCCATGTAAAAGGCAATTTGAAAAATCTGGTGCCACCGACATGTGCACCATGGGGTTGAGAAATCTGTGTTCCAAAAATTGTCTGAGTGTTGCTTTTGGTTGTTTTTGCAGACAAAACTTGAAAAGGCTGAATACCAGGCTGAGAAAAGAGTGGAAATTGCCTGGAGACCATTTGAGGCTGAATTTGAGAAAGGTTATTGGAGACCCATGTAAAAGGCAATGGAGCAGCAAAGGAGGGAAACAAAGTCCTGTAAAAGCCAGGCTCAGAATCCAAGGAACCAAAAGGTCAGCTTCTGTGTTCTTTCTCTGTTGTTATGCAGGCATTTACTGGATGCCCCTGCATCTGTATGGCCAAGTTGCCAGCCACTACTTTGTGACTGTAGAAATCTTCAAAGATGACAGCACCGTCAAATGGTGCTGAGCATAGAGTCAAGGGTTCAAAACTTCAAATCGAAATATTTTCACTGTTCACTGTTCAGGCAGAGCCAACGAGCACTACCGCCTTCACCCAAAGAGAACGGTCGGGTCATTATCAATGTATGTAGACTGAAATTGCACCAAATACGGCTGTAATGACCACGCTGTTGTGATCCTGGCCAATTTCGAGATACACATTCATCAGAGAGTATAATGCCGTCCAATTGCAGAAAGAAATGACTGAAGTTGAGAGGAGAGAGAGGGTAAGAAGAAGAAGAAGAAGAAGAAGAAAGAAAGAAGAAAAAGATGATGTACACCAGCATAGACAAATGATAAAGCTCTTCTTCTTCGCCAAACACTCTCCTCCTCCTTTACTCCTCTGAGTCCTCTCTTATTCCCACAAGAAATAATAGTACAATGTTGAATGGCTGAACCAGAATCAATGTCCGAATCCCTCTTCTACTGCAGGTATCACTTGATGTCCACCATAGCCATGGCCACCTTCCTCACTCTTCACTCTCATAGGCTGAGGCTATGGCGGACTACTGGGCCTTGCCCTGATGCCCAAAGGACAACCCAAAGCAGCTATGGGTGCTCCAGCTCAGGCCGCCATGCCTGACTCTGCCTTGAAGATTCTTGGTGTAGCTCTACCCCAGCTGGGGTCTTCCTGCTGCAGCGCCCACCAAGATGATGAAGACGGGTGCCACCATAGCCAGGTAAGTACCTCTGGCGCTCCCCCTTCCCCCTGCTCTTCTTCCTCCTTCGTGTCCTTGCTCCTTCGCCAGCAGCGCTGCTCTTGCTAGCGCTGCTCCAGCCAGCGCTCCAACCAGTGTGTTGTCAAACTTGCACACTGACAATGAGGCTGGGCTCTTTGCCCGGCCTTGAGATATAGCGGCCTGCTTGCCTCTTGGGCGGTGACTTCCAGGCCGCTCGGCCTTCCAAGCAACCGGTACCTCCGCCCTTTCAGAGGGAAACGTCATTGCAGACTCTGATATTGCCCGTACAGGCCCTAGACTCAGACTGGTTGGACTGGTACCCGCCTAGACCTGGCCTACAACTACTGGGCCTCTCAAAATGCCACTTTTGTCTTCTTCTGCTCGTCCTCCAGTACCCGCACATCTACCTCTTCAGGGTGCGGTACCGGCCTACCTGCTACTTGAGTGTTTTCCCCCGCTGCAATCCTCAATGTCACGGCCGCAGGTAAGCACCGGCCCTAAGGGCCCAACGAACGAACAAGTGCCCTTGCGGGTCACACACACACTCAAGCCAACCAGCACTCAGACAGACATGCAGACCAGCAAGCGTGCACACACACACAGGCATGCAGAACTTAGTAGCAAGCGGGAAACTCAGCAAGGCATTCAGTCCATGAGCAAAACTCAGAAATCAACTGTGTGTCTCAATCCGTGTTTGGTCGGGTCATCACACTACCCTCCCCTTAAGAGCGAGGTCCCTTCGAGCGAGTAACTCAGTCTGAGTCCCGGACAAACACATCGTAAGCAAATAAGGCAAACAGATTTCGAGAGTACTCTGTTGCAGTGAGCTTTGCAGAGATTTTGGGAACAGCATTAGAGGCGGTTTGTTGTTCGTCGGCTTTAACATCGCGAGGTGCGCTGTGCAGCAGTTCCTTCTTGGAGATCCAGTAGAGATCGTCCAATGGGTGATACATAAAGTGAACCTGGTACTGTCTGTTACGTCCCTTCCCTACGTGCTGTTTGATTCTATCGATCTCATGACCACCACTACTTTGCGACTGTAGAAATCTTCAAAGATGACAGCACCGCCAAGTGGTGCTGAGCATAGAGTCAAGGGTTCAAAACTTCAAGTCGAAATATTTTCACTGTTCAGGCAGAGCCAACGAGCACTACCGCCTTCACCCAAAGAGAACGGCCAGTCATTATCAATGTATGTTGACTGAAATTGCACCAAATACGGCTGTAATGCCCAGGCGTTCTATTCGGATGAAGACGGTAGCATTTACTGCATGCCCCTGCATCTGTATGGCCAAGTTGCCCGCCGCTGCTTTGTGACCGTAGAAATCTTCAAAGATGACAGCACTGTCCGGTGGTTCTGAGCATGCAACAGACTCACAGCTATAGAGTCAAGGGGATTTTTATTTTTAATTTTTAAACGGAAATACTCTCACTGTTCAGGCAGAGCCAACGAGGACCAGCAAAAGAAAAAGACAAGGCAGAAGCTCGGGCACCCAGCTGGCACGACTACTGCAGCCATCTACGTGGAATGCCCGATCTGGATTCACCCGTCTGCGGTATATTGGTCACCCCCGTTATCTTATCGACTATCAAGGTGATTCATGCACCAACTTGATGAGAGCTTGATTGAAAGACATAACCTGTAGTGAAAGGCCACGAGAAAACAACTTCCAGTACAAAAAAAAATAGAAAATGATAGTGCGCAGATCTGAAGTTCAAATGCTTAGCAAATCATTCTCTATTTTTGATGGGCTGTATCTTGCCACACGTGGTAAAATACTGCATTTGATGGGCTGCTCCGTATCTTGCCACGTGTGGTGCAGTAACAAACACTTACCGCTGTAACGAACACTTACTGCTGTTGCTTTGAAGTTCACGAGGCGACTGGCTCAAACAAGAATCGCGAGCAGAGTCGTTCCAAAGCTTGGCGACTCTGAAACATCTACGGTACCAAACTGTTAGTAGCACAGAGCTGCCGATACAGCATACAGTAGGGGAGGGATGCCGGCTGCCAGAGGGCCTAGCCTGCCTTGGCCCGGTAACAGGCAGAGGCTTTCCTACGGCATTGGGGTTGACCTGTGTTCAAATCCTCTGGCTACACCAGCCTTCCAACTGGGTCTCAAATACGATATGCAGTCAAGTCAATCTCTCTCTGGATCTTGGAGCTCCCTGTGATATTGGGTCTCTCTCTCCATCAGAGTGGCCTTGTAAGCCTACTATCTTCTCGTCCTCCTCGGGTAATACATAAATTCGACCCTCGTGGATCCCACTGGGTCTTCCTCTCTTGCTGGGTGCTTGTTTCGGATGCCGGTCCACTAACTTGTCAATCTCTGCCTGTCCATTCGCCATGGTCACGGTGGATATTCCTCTCTTCAAGCTTTGACAGTACACAAGGGATTGACTTGGAGGGGATGCAAGACCGGGGGAATCTTCAAATCCCGTAGCGCATGAGCCGCTTGTGATTGCCCCTCAAAAGGCATCTCCTACACCTGTTAGATTCCGCCACAGTCCATATGACTTTTGTAACAATTTTCTCAAAACACGTCCCGCATCTAAAAACTCGTCCATACCGACACACAAATGTCCTCGATGGGCCGCTAGTGCTCATCTGCAAACTGGATGGTGGATTCTACGCATGATCGTTATCGCTGTATTTGGGGCAACTTTCGGGCCAGATGCAGCGATAATAACTGGGCGTTTTAGTCCGGTGAAGACAGTAGCCCGCGAAGGGGGGAGGTACTTAAGCTGCTGGTTGGTCACCATGAAATCAACAGGCATCATGGTTCTCTAGCAATAACCCTGAACGGGGAATCAACAGAAGCCTCCAGGCCGAAGATATGCCAGCTTTGGCTATACTGCCAGCAATAAGCCTTACCAGGAAAGCAAGAATCTTTAGAGTGCACCTGGTTTAAGGCGAGTGTATTCATGATCAGGCTCGTTGCACCTCCAAACTGGTGCTATCGGGCGTAAGGCCGGAGATCATCGCTGGATGGTATTCCCTTGCCGCCCAGCCGAACAGGGAAACATGCGGCCTTTGCTCCAGAGCAGCTCTCCGAGTTTGCACAGGTTAGCGTAGTCATGATAAGGTTCATGTCAGATTACATTTGCCAAGCACGAGTAATGCTTGATGAGCACTCAGTATGGTGGCATGGGTGACACCTCGGAGCATCTCCAAACTGGTGCTGTCAGTCATAAGGGGCTGGAGATAATCATTTGGATGGCGCTCCTTGCTGGCCAGCCTACACAGGAAAACATGCACTCTTTGCTCCATCCAGAGCAGCTTTCCCAATTTTGACGTATTATGCTCGAACTCTGTCCATGCCAAAAAATTACCACACTAATGGGAAGAATTCCCATGATCTTCATGCAATTCAGACAAGACTGGTACAACGCTTGCGTGGCAGATTGTTAGCTGTTCAGTCCGTCAATATGGGAAACTCCTCAACGAGAGGCGATCGATCGATCGCAAGAGAAGAAATTTGCTTGCCAGATTGTAGGCCGCTCAACGTGTCAATATGGGCAATTCTCAATCTTAAAAACGAATCCAAAAAATTTGAATATCGTAGTCAAAGAAATTGGCGAACAATCACGAAAAAAACACAACAAAAAAGTTAAAAAAAAAAGCCTCGATTAGATCAATTTACATATTTCACGCAATTCCTTTGGTTATGTGTATTTTATTTGAGTTTTTATGTCCTCAATGAGAGGCGATCGATCGCAAGAGAAGAATTTGCATGCCGGATTTTTAGCCGTTCGGTGTGTCAATATAGGAGGCAACTCCTCAACGAGAGGCGATCGATCAATCACAAGAGAAGAATTTCCATGCCAGATTGTAGGCCGTTCGATTGTTTCAATCTGTGCAGCAACTCCTCAGCGAGAGGCGGGCAATCACAAGAGAAGAAAGAGCGTTCAACGGAATTAGTTCCATTGCTTTGCTGTTTTTCGTAGCAACAACTGTTGTAAGGACTCTATGTGCACAACTTATGGCTCAGCCTTGAATAAGTACCAGCAATGTTAGGGTAATTCCTGTTGATGATGATATCGGTCATGCATGTTGTGACGCTGTGCTTCAAGCACAAGGTAATACTGCTTTTGTTCTTTCGTGCTTGTGTGTATATGCAGTGGAGGCAACCTCATCGGCCAAATTGGCATGGCGGCCAGGGAAGGACACAGTGTGGAACTGATATGTTTTACAGAAGGTACAAAATCTTTGCTCGCACCACTCGTTTGGCGTAATCGTTTGCTCATATGACACATCCATCATCCGTTTGAGAGCTCACATTCATAACAGCAGTGACAACAAGGGTAAAGCAAGTCGTGATGATTTCCATTTAGTGGGTGTCGTTGCGCAGTGTTGGGTCGTAGTAATTCAGGCATGTTGTGTGGAAATTTGATTTGCGCTAATCACTGCGAGTGGAGGCCTTCTGCATCACACGGGGGTTATGGGTGAAAAGGAGGAGGAGGAATATTCCAGGTGAGGGAACGCTGAGTTGAAGTGCAATAG